AATATTTCACCAGTGGCTGGTTCCTTCCTTTATAAAAAAGTCACAAGGTGGCCTTGGCATGTTTTCTGTCTGACAGATGGCCACATCTCAATTAGCACTAACCTGTGCCTTTCCTATCTACCTCCAAAGGCCAGTGCAAGGCAGCACAAAAATGACATAGTTCCCTCTCTCTTGGAGGTGCCCATGCTGGTCAAAGAGCCACCTTTCGGACAGGAAAGAATTGGTGCCAGAACTTGCTGTAAGGCTTCCTGGAAGAATCCCAAAGCATTCAAACACGGGAGCTGTATGCAGTGAGGCAAGGCACAGATGGCAAAAGAAAAGCAGTGCAGGTTTTTTCTGAGCCTCTGAGTCTCTCAGCTCCTGGACAAAGGAGAAACTGGGCAGCTTTGGCTGAATTCAAGCAACTTGTCTAAGGCAAAGGAGATACAGACAACCCTTCCTAGGGACTGGAATATATAAAAGGTTAGTGCTGTCCCACTTTTCCTAACAGGTCCCTCCAAATTAATTTAGCACCAGATGCAAAGACCTCCTTCATCCTCCTGGCACATGATATCTAGCAGCCACTTCTGGTTTAATTAGGCAGACAGTGATTGTGTTTAGATTTTTCCTCTGTTGCAAGTAAGTATGCCTATCCAGTTTATAAAGAAGAGTTCAAAGCAATGAAACATTTGATCTTGAGCTAAGCTACATCTTTCACTCAGCCAAAAAATTGTATCTTTTGCTTGTCGATTTGCTGTGAATACAGAGTAAGAAAAAAACGTGCTCAGCCTGGCTTAATCCAAACTCTCATTTTTATTCTGGTTTCAGTACTACCAGCAAACAAATCAACATGAACCTCAGCACCCACACAGCTCAGCCATTCCAGCTAACCAATTTTTCTTTCTCAGAAAGTTAAAAGCACTCCTGGCTACGCCTTTGGGGTTGGATCCAATTACACAGAAAGATTCTTTTTGCCTTTGGCAAGAAAAAATTACAGATTTTGGGCTACTTGCTGATTGCTCTGTTCCATCACTCTGAATTATAATCAAGCCACATATGGTTGAGACCATACCAGTAATTCTGGTGCCAGGATTTTTGACTGACAGAACCCCATGAAACAAAAGCCTTGCATAACTTGGAGCACAGGGTCCTAGGGCCTAGTTGTGCCCTCTGAGTGATGAGCAGTTCCTTGGGTATTGTAGACCTGAAGGTTATTCTTTTTATTCTGGTTCATTACCACTGTAAATTCCAGCTCTCAGCCCTTCTCCAAAACCTTCACCTTTCCATCCCCTCCATCTCCTTTAGCTAGCTGTGCACCACAGGAAGATTTAGCAGAAGGAGTGCAGTGAAAGATTTAAGCCGGGTTCTTCTGCTAGAAGAAGGAAGTTTCTCTGTGATGATCCTGAAAATCTGGGCTCCAGTCTTGTACTGAGAAGAGGCAGGAGGAGCAGCACCTGGTCTGTCCTCTCTCCTTCCCTCTCCGGTGATAGGTGGTGCTGCTGCTCTTCCTACAGACCACCAACGCACTTGCAAGGCTCTGCCTTTCCACTTTCTCACTCGTGGTGTCCCGAGCATGCATCATATTATCCCAGATTCTGGCTTTGGGCAGCTGAGGACCACAGTAAAACGTGACTCTCCCACGAGCATTTTAGCACATCAGTGGATGCAGCAGTTAAGGGTTCTGAAGTCCTGGAATGCTGGCTACACAAAGCAGTTCCTGCAGCACTGGGTGTGTGGCTCCCAGAGCAGGACTCTCTCCTGCTCTCACGCTGTGCTGGTTCCCACCTGGTTTGGTCCTGGGGCTTTCAGAGCAGCTCTGTCTCCAAGGGCTCATCAGACTGTGGTGCAGAGCACCCAGGGGACCAAAGATCAGGACGGTGTGACTCCCCAGCCAGGTGCTGTTCCTTAGGGTGCTTCCACTGAAGGCAGTGGCCAATTCTTGGGTCAGCACTAGCCCTGTAACAGCCCTGCTCAGAGTGACCCGTGGTGATATGATTGCCCTGAAGCTATAGTGATATATGCCTGCAAAGTCTCATCCCTTCTTTGACTCCTACAAACCTCCATTTTGTAAGAAAAGCTGTTTGTACATGTCTGGTAATTTCTTCTTCCAGGTGGCATTTCCTTTTTGACATCCTGCCTTGATGGCTCCCAAATCCCCAACTCCTCACAGGCAGAAACTGAAGGACTGTGGAGGCTCACAAGCCATCATGGGCTGTCCTGCTCCAACCATCAGACCCAGGGAGGTGGACTTTCTTCCTCCCCACCTTTGCCCCTCTCAGATATCTCTTTGTGTTGATCCCTGTCAGTGCAGCACTTTGTGCTTCTGTCTGCACAGAAGCTTTCCTGCTGAGGTGAATCTCCATCAGCTGTGGAGGAAAGCACCTTTGGAAACAAAAAGAAAGGGTCAGTTACCACTGCTAGACACATGAATCCCCAAGTTCTTGCCACGAGAAGCTGTGAAATGTGCTGGCACAATGCATTAAGGATGCAGTGCACAGCCTGGCGTTGAGGAGGACTCTCAGTGATGCTGCTGCACCTGAAGAGAAACCACCAAACCACAAACGAGCCTGCTCCAGTTCACCTGCCCCACCACAAGCCCCTTTCTGTTGCTATTTGAAAAACTTTCTCCAAAAATCAGCAGGGTACCAGTGAGCTGCAAATATTAAAATCAAATCAGGCACAGTCAACAGCTTTCCAGCAAAAGGAACAGGACAATTTATGGCAAAGGTAGTGCCATAGGAAAGTGGCATAATTAACACCAGTTAGTTATGAGTTAATTAGTGTATTGGTAAATTCTTTGATGGTTTTGGGCAAGAGAAGAGGCTGATTAAAAAAATGAGAGAAGTATGCCCTGCTCTGTAGCAATGGTTGCAACCCCTGTCATTGTTGGATTGTGATTGCTCCTCTACTTAGATTTTATTGGTTCTGCTGAAAAATTCAAGTAAACCAAATGAGATCAGATTTCCTCATGGACACCAAGTCCCATGGTCTTCTCAGACTGAAGGAAGAATGAGCTTAGTTTGGTTCAGGGAGAATGGCAAACACAGAGGAACAGTGTTAGAGGAAATTATTACTTCCCTGATGTCACTGAATCTCACTTTGGTAACATTATGGGAAAAAAACCCGTATTTTGGAAGTGTCAGAAGGAAACAGGAACAGTGTTAGAGGAAATTATTACTTCCCTGATGTCACTGAATCTCACTTTGATAACATTATGGGGAAAAAAACCCATATTTTGGAAGTGTCAGAAGGAAATAAATTGCCTGGAAGCAAGAAAATTTGACTTGATGATCCAGAAATCCCTTCCCCAGTCCATTCTGCATAAATGAATTTTTTGTCCTTCAAAAAACCCCAAAAAAACCAAAAAACCAAAAAAAAAAAAAAACCCCAAAAAAAAAAAAAAAAAAAAAAAAACCACCAAAAACAAAAAACAAACAAACAAACAAACAAACCCAAAAAAAACCAAAAAACCCAACAAATACGTTTGGATTTCCCCCTATTTCACAAATACATTTTGTCACTAAAAACTGAATTTCAGCAGGAATTCACCATCCATCCAAACCAGCTGCTATCTCCAATCAGTAGCATTGATGACTGATGAATTTGTACTGTAGGAGCTGAAATACCTTTGGCTGCAAACCAACCCCCCTTAAAGTTATGTCCCTGTATAAGCAGGATGGAAAGGCCTAAAAATATTACTTGGTAAAGGCATAATGATGGTGATTTAGAGACTTCTATTCACAAGAAAGTAAAGGTGAAAAACACTCTGGAGAATCAGGGTGATCATAATTTGGGGCTATTTCTTTCTGCTGATTATGTAGGAATTGTCTCCCAGTGCCTATTACATTAAGGAAGAAACCGTTTTCTCTAAGATACAAAACCTCCCTGCAGTCTGGATCAACTCAGGAATGAACAAAGGACCAGATATTTAGAAGGAGAGAAAAATCTTCTGTGAATACCACTAGGATATACTAGACACAAATTGAGTTTGGAACACCAATAAAATTTTGTTGAAGAGCAGAAAACATGGCTGGAGAAAAACCCTAAGACGGGATCATGTTAGTTAATGTGTGTTTTGAATCTTGAACATTCTCCTTCAGCAAAGATTTGGCATGCCTTCTTTTGGGACTATGAATAACAAATGATAAGCAAGCAATGAGAGGCAAAAGCCATAACCTGGAGAGGTTGAGGCAACAAAAATGCACCAGGGCTCTCCATCCTCGTGTCTCTCTCCCTGTAGAGGCAAAGGGAAGCAGTGATCTAAACGGAACATGTGATTTCCCAGCAGCATTTTGAGCCGTGGATGTTGAAGCATCTAGAAAGAAGTGGTGACAGAGAAGCTTTCAGGCAAAGGATTTGCTAGCAGTCCTGTTGGGAATGGAAAGAAGAGTGAATGAGCACGGCTTAGGCCTGTTATGCAGGATTGTTAGGAAAGCGGGGAACACCCCTGAATGCCGGCGGATGTAGTCCAATGCGCTCGTCGTTACGCTAAAAAATAAACCACAAACATTTAAAGTTCTCCAGACCTGCTGGAGCTTCCCCACGGTCTTGGGGAGCTGTCCCGGGCTGCTGGCAGCGCTGGTGGCTGCGGGAGCAGGGCTGAGTCCCTCCGCTGCAGGGCGAGGTGCGGGGGCAGCCGGGCTGGGCCGAGGCTCCCTCAGCCCCGGTGTGTGGGGAGCAGAGGAGACCTGGCTGGGAAGAAAGCCTGGAGAGGAGGAGGAGGAGGAGAGAGGGGTCAGAGAGGGGAGGGTTTTGCCATACTCACCCGGGGCGGGGGTTACACACCGAGGGATGGGAGGCTGTTCCTGCTGCGCTGCAGAAGGAAAGTTGGCCGCGCTGCCGCGCAGGGCTCCTTCTCCTGCCTCTCTCACTCCGCCTGCCTCTCTCTCTCTCGCTTTCTCTCTCCCTCCCTCCCTCCTCCTTTCCCTCCTCCTCCTCCCGAGCCCACAGTGCCGCCGAGGCGGTGCAGGCGGCGCAGCCCCTTCTCCTGTGGCGCTGTGCAGCCCCGGGCCCGGTCCCCGCCGCCGCCCCCGCCGCGGGCATGCTGCCGGGCGGAGCGCCCGGGCGCTGAGCCGCCCCTCCGGCCGCGCCAGCGGGAGCTCCGCGCCGCGGGTCACCTTGCAGGGAGGTGAGTGACCCCCCCAGCCCACCCCGTCCGATCCCCTCCGGGCAGCGATGCACCAAATGCCCGCTCCGCCGCACCCTCCGGAGCATCCTCCGGAGCGCGGAGCGGAGGCGGGGGCACCGCGGCTCCCGCAGCCGCCGCGGCCGAGGGACTCCGGGGCGAGCGCGGGGAAGCGCGGGGGCTGAGCGGGGCCGCCCGCAGGGTGCTTCCCCGGTGCCCTGCCGAAAGCCCAAATCATCGTGCCCGGTCTTGCCCGGCGGGGGCTGGGGGGAGAAGAGGCTTTTCCAGTGCGCGGCGAGATTGGGAACATTGGAAGGGAAAGTGCGCGCGGGCTTCTCCTTTTCCTTTCCCTCCTCTTCCCCGTGAGGAATCCCATCTAGCGCACTGTGGCAGAACAGCTTTTTACCCCCAGCTCCGCTCTGCCAGCCCAGGGAAGGGAGAGAGGGGTGGGCAGAGCCCCACCGGGGCAGGCAGCGGGGATGCTGAGCTCCCGGCAGCCGCAGCTGCCCCTTCCACTCGCTATCCTGCTCCGGAGAGGCGCCGGACTGAATTTCTTTCCCTTCCCATCCTCTAGTTTGAGAGCAGTGACAGCTAAGCTGGGAAAAGGGATGGTTGAGGCAAGGAGGCAGCAGTGGTCACTGCTGTCGGTGGCAGTGGGGTGACATTGGGGAAGTGCCCTGTACCTGCCACGTCCTTCTGGACGTGGTATCCGGGTATCACTAAAGCATCCCGCAAGGGGTCCGTTCTTCAGTAGGAAGAGGCTGGCAATGCACTGAGACCTTTCTGGAACTGGCACTCCAGGAGCACAGTCCTTGCTGGAGCAGGATCGGTAGCGCTCCCCAGCCAGGAGTGTGCTGCAGGGGCAGAGGTGCAGGGGTCTGTGTGGGACTGGCCATAGGGGTGGTGGGGTATAACCCTCCATCCCCGGACAGAACATGGAGCAGGAGTGGCAGGAGTTGCTCCAGAGAGCAATCTGTTGAACTGTGCCTTCAAAATCACTGGAGGGAAGCTGTAGTCTCTGTGTGTAATGAAACAGAAAAAAAAAAATTCCAAACTTTCTAGATAGATTAAATATTCAAATGACAATTAATTAGATATTAATCTGGTGTAAACAGAGCATTAGCAACAATTAAAAGATGCTTTGATGGTCTTAAACTCAAGATGATGCATTAACTGGCACACTGAGGGGGATATTTGTGTATTCTAAAAAGCAATCAGAACAGAGAATACACTTTCCTACATTCATGTATTTAAATGACTTAGTTTTAATTATAGTTAATTAACTGTCATCTTTAAAGTAGCTGCAAGTTGATGGTCTTTATTAATTTCAAATTACCTTGCTCCTAATACAAAGACCGATTTTACTGGACAAGGTGACATTTTATTGGCAGTTTTGGTAACTACAGATCATGCCAGGGTGTGTGTAGAATAAACTCATTTGTAGGAATTAAATGAACTCTCCTCTCATTAGCTGGGCAGGCAGATGTCTCACACCACTGGTGCCACACACTCTGGAATAAATCTCACACACAGAGGAGGGCTCTTCCTTATACAAATGCAGATGTAATGCAGTACTGGTGTACACAGACACCACCACAACACATTTAACTTGAGGAAGGATGCTCTCAGGGTTTAAAATGCTTTTTCTTCTGAGGACAGTATTAGACAAAATGTGCAATGTGTTTGGATAAGGTTTTTTTGTCTTTCTTTCTCTCAACAGCAAATTCATATCTGCAGACAGCTGTAAAATGCTTCCAGTAGAGTTATTTAATACTATCCATGTAGCTATTAAGATTGCAGATTACATCTGTGGTTATTAAGAGTCCAAATTTTGTTGTCTGCACTTTGGAGACTCAAATTTTTACAGGTTGTGGGTTTGTACGGTGCAATTCGGGGGGAAAAAAAGGAAAATAACTGCAGAGGTGCACACAGGAGAAAAATACTCTGGGTGTTCATTGGCTTTGCTTTGACAAACATGAACGGTGTAAGTGTCTGAATACACATCCTCCAGCTATCATGTCACTTGTTTCTGAGTACCCTTTCTCTGGCAAAAAAAGCTGAAAACTACTTAGAGTAATAGGGTCACAGCAAAATGTTCCTCTTCAGATGTAGATGCCTGTGACCCTGAGGATTCACATGGAGCTGGTCTAACCTGTAGCACCAAAGAATCCAAAGATTCTGTGATTTCAGTTTGGTGCTGTAACATCAGAAGAGTGACAAACTGGTTGTTTTCACTGCACAAGCAAAGACTGCATTTTGAAGCAGTGGTGCAGTGCATGAGTGGTGTGAGTCCATGCATGCCTGTAGCAGTGCCAGTTTTGTACCTGGCATCCCTATGGATGTGTATTTGTGTGTCTCTATAAAACCTGATTGTGTAAAGTTCCCTCATTTACCAGTAACTCTCAGAATCTGTGCTGCATTTCTGTCCTTACACTTTGAGGCATCACAGAGGCATGAGAAGAATGAACAGGCTGTTCACACCAAGTTGGCATAATTCTGGCTGAATTTTGATGGGGTTTTTATGCTTTTATTGACTGCTCAGGTACCTTAAAAATCCCCAGGGAGAACAAAGAACTCTAAAATGGCATTTGCTAAAGGACAGAATCATAAAATAGTTTGGGTTGCGAGGGATATTAAGATCACATAGTTCCAACCCCCCTGCCATGGACAGGGATGCATTCCACTAGCTCAGGTTGCTCAGGGCCCATCCAACCAGAAAACTTCCAGGGATGGGGCATAATCAAACAGTTCATCTTCTAGAAAAAGGACCTAGGAAAGGCATCCAGCCTGGTGTCAGGTGCTGCAGGACAGCTGTGCTCAGTGTGCTGCTTCAGGACATCTCCCACAGCAGCTGCCCCCTACATGCAATGACTTATCCAGTCCTCTCCCAGAGGGTGGTGTTCCCTTGTCACCCACCCAGCTCCTACCTCTGTGCTCTTTGCAACAGAACAATCTCCCTTCTTCCAGCTGCATGTGGCTCACAGGATCATGGAGGCCAGGCTGTGATGTGGATATGCTGCCAGCCCAAAGCCTGTGCCTCCCATACAGAAGTCCCTGAGGTCCTATATCCCGTCTCCTCCCAGAGAACAAAGAGGACAGCACTTTTCTTCATGTTCAGACAATGCCCTGACTCTAATAGGCATCAGCATTACTCATTTCCATTTTTGTTTCTGCAGGGAGGGGTCAGTGTAGGGTTAATAAGGGTCTGTAAAGGTCAAACTATGCCCCACTGATGCTGCTGCTTCATTTTCCCCTGCCTGCCCTCTCTGCCTCCAGCTACCACTCTCACCATGGCTAAATCACTTACTCTGTAAGGCTTTTGTCCCATGGTATAGTCCTGGCTCTGCAATTTTTCTGTCTTATGGAGCACAGCTGATTTTATGGCCCCAGAAGCGCCTGTTTACTCTAATCATCCTTGCCCAGATGAACTGACTCTAGTAATTTTACAGTGTTTTTCCAGCAAAGTGACTTACAGCCCTGGGGTGCTTTGCTGGGGGCAGGAGGGACAGAAACTTCCATTTTGTGCCGAGTCTGCACCAGCACACTGTCTTCCTATTCTGTCATCTCTTTATTTTCCATCTGTGCTTCAGCAATACCTCAAGTCCAGCCTGGAGCACAGCACTGGGGGTTTACATGCAGAGCAAGTGTGAGGAAGTGTCTTGTCCTGCTTTCTTCCTGCATGCAGTATGGGAAAGCAAGCAGAGCCAGATGAGCAGGCTGTGTGCAAGAACTGGGCTCTCTGGGGGCTTGGCTGCCCATCAGGAGTGAGGCTGGAGTGAGTTAGCAGGGCCAGCCCTGGATCCACATTTGGGTGTTCCTATCTGTGTCACAAACACAGTTAAACAGGAATTTAGGTCCAAGGGGAGGCACAGGATTCAGCCAGCAGGCAAGCCAAGAGGGCCAGGGGATGCTGTGATGTTGGTATTCATGGAGAGACTTCCAACTTCTCTTTTGAAAGCTATTAAAGTAAGAATTGCTCCTCATGGCTCAATCTCCCCAGTATGAAATGAGGAGTTTGAATATGATGCTACTGGTCTGCAATATTGGGGAGCCTCTTGAAAACACAGCAGGGAAAACACAGCCAGACTTTCTGACTGCTTTCACTCTGCAGAGGAATTGCCAGAATGGTACAGGTGTCAAGGTATTTTTACACTGGTGCCTTACACATCAGCCAGGGTTATTTACACCAGAGTAAGATGCTCTTAGTCAGGCCAGTTATTTATTATCTGGAAAGTGCAGTGAATGAAAAAAGTTGTGAGTTCAGACTGCACCCCACTAAGAATTAAGGCTGAAAATTCTGAGTCGTGAAGAATTGCTAGAAAAGTCTGAATGTGCCTTTTTTTTTTTTTTTTTTAATTATTAATTGGAGGCAACTTGAAGCATAGTGAATTAAAAGCCAGCTTGTTCAATTAAAAATAAATAAATGAAACATTGCATAGTCGTTTAGTTTTTTTTTTTTTTCTTTTTTAATTGGAGGCAACTTGAAGCATAATGAATTAAAAGCCAGCTTGTTCAATTAAAAATAAATAAATGAAACATTGCATTTTATTTTAGCTTAGGCAAATACTTCCATCTGCTCAAAAGGAAATACTTTGTTGTAGGAATAACATTATTATATATTAGGTCAATGCAAGGTAATTCCTCCTTTCTTCCCCACTCCATTCTTTAGTTCAGATACTGAATTAAGCAATCAATTATTCAGGCAGATATGCAGATGGTAATTGTTTTAACATATATCTCTGCACAGGCAATCAAGAGACCTGGATTTTATTTCCAGCCCTGTCTTGACATGACCTTGGACATTTCACCATTCTCCAAGTTCCTCGTTTTTAGGAGGACAGATCACATCTCACGGCAGATTTGCTGCATATTGGTAATACTAAAATAGCATGGAGGTCTTTTTAATTCCACTGTTAGCAATGAAACATTTAGCTATCACTAATGCATGCATTCCTAATTTTCCCAGTGTGAGTAAGTTGCACTGCCTTACGAAACTCCCTGTAGTTTACTTAATAGAGTAAAAGGAATTCCAGCTGCTGAAATACAGCATTCCCTTGAAACAAAACCTACTTTAATAAGCCCAGCTAAATCAAAGAAGAAAAATACAAGTAGGAAAGGGTTTTTTTCCTTCATTTTGTTAAATATTTCACTTTTAATCAGCACTCCAGATCCATACTTTGCCTGTGATTTCTCTCCTGCACAAGGTCTGTATTTGTTGTTGCAGTTTCTAAATGTCTGGAATGCCTCAAACCATGCTGAAGCTTACTGCATTGTGCTTCAGAAACTCCCTCTCACCTGAGAGCTCCTGCCAGGGAATCTGCAACTTATTGGGGCTTGACTGCTCTTCAAGAGAGCTTTCTCCCCTCTGCTTTCTCTGCACTGGCAGAGGGGAAACCAGCTTCAAACCCAGGGGCATTTTGTTGAATCCGATAATCTTGGGGCTGAATCACATTCTGCTGGTGGCACAAAGGGTCACTATTGCCACTTCTTGCCATTCTGGTGATTCAGAATCACTGAGGGATTGGGGAACAGTACTTTTGGGGAGCATGGGAGACAGGTGGGAATCTGTAAGAACCAGAGGGATTAAAATAATGGGATAATCAAGTTGAAGAAATCTCAAGAGGTCTGCAGTTCTATTTCATGCTCAGAGAGGTCAACTCTGAGATCACACCATGATCCTCAGAGTTTCATTCAGATGGGTCTTCAAAACCTGCGAGGATGGAGACTGCAAATCCTCGTTGGGCAGCTTTTTCCTGTGCTTGACTGTCTTCATGGGGAAAAGATTTCTGCTGATATCCAGCAGCCCCATGCAGAAGCACACGAGTTTTTGATGCTTTTTTCCTGGCTGATGACCTGCCAGATCTGCAGGGAATGGCAGAGGGTACAGCCTCGGGCTTTGACAGCAGATGGGGACTCTGCCTTCAGCCTCATTTGCCTTCATCTTCCAGTTTTCTTGCCAATAAACCAGTCTGCTGGGCAGGTGATGCTTGGTGTGTGTGGATGAATGTCCTTCTGGTCTGCAGTGAGGAGGTGGCTGGGGCTGTTCAGCCATAGCCCAATGTTCCAACTCTCTGGCTTGCTCAGAATTCAGGGGTTTGTATTCAGAGTTTCCCAACTGGACAGGACATTGGGTGCCTGGCAAGGATCTCCAGAAGGCTGAAGAGCCCTTAAGCTGTGCAAAGTCCCATGGAGAGAGGAGGGAAACAGCATCCTGCCAGGTCCTGGGAGAACAAAGTAGTTTTGGGACGGTGGGCAGTAATAGAGCTGGCTTCTACTCCTTGTCTGCTAGACCCTGGGGCACAGCATTTACCTGTTCTCTCCCCGCCCTCCCTACAGCTGGCATTTCTCTGTCTCACACCCTCTGCTTAATTAGTTTGTCAGGCACTGTCATCATAGCAGGAGGCTGCAGAACACCCAGCAGAGCGTGGCTCTCAGTGCAGCTCCTCATTGTAGCTGGGCTCTGCTGTAACACGAGTGATAGCTTAATAAACCACAGCACTGCAGACTAGAGATCTTGGCACTGCTTGCAGCTTCTTATTAAAATAAGAAAGGAGGAGGGGGGAACCCAAGAAATTGGAAAGAGTGAAGGTTAAAGTAATTAATGGACTCACTTTTTATAGTAGACTGGGGTAAAAATGTCTAACCCCAAGGTAAACATTAGATTGAAGGTTGATATATTGATTATATATGTATCTGTTAATAACTTGAACTTGGCTTTTCCTTCTGGTTCCAGTCTCAAGTATGAGTATTTCATACTCAAGTATGAAAATGCAGAATTATTTCTGGTTGGCCTCAGTGGGACAACTAAAACCATGGGACAACTAAAACCGTGCAAAGACAGAAGAAATCTGAGTCCAACCAATTAAAACTAACTCTGCATCTTGGAGCAGACTGAAAAGCTTTTTTATTTCAAGAGCTCTGATGAATTTCATTGTCCTGTCAACATCATTCTGAAACCTCACCATGGTCATAGGTAATGAGAGCTTTTTTCTGCTTTGAATGCTGGCTTCCTGAAGAGAAGGCACCCTCCCTTTTCCTCAGGTGGTCTGTCAGAGGTTACCTGCTCTGGCACTGCCATCCAGGGATTCTGGGCTGCAGGGAACCTGGAAACTGGAGAAATCTTAATTTTAGGACATGCCTGTGAGTCACAGGCATGTGAACCTGGCCCAGGCCATGTCCATGAAAGCCCCCTGTGAAGGTGGAGTGGCTGGATCCATGTCCAAGGGGTCCCTGCAGGCAGGACAAAGGCTCTGAGCCACTGCAGAGGCACAGGTGCCTTTTTCCCCTAAGCATCACCCTAAGTGACCATGTACCACTCTCTGCCACACCTCCATCTCAACCTCTTCAGGAGTAATACTAATGTAATTATTTATTTCTCTTTTTTCCCTCTCTTAATGTATTATCCTGAAAAGGCCCAAGTCTCATCTGCTTCTTGCCATTAAGCAACTCTCTTGCAGGGCCAAGAACGTTGGGTCAGGCTCTGGTAAGGCAGGCAGCCAGCTACAGATTAAAAAGCACCTGGGGTTAAACCATTTACCTTGATTGCATGCCGCCATCCACATCTCCCCGCCGACCTTCCCTGAGGCATGCTGCCTGCCCTGCTGTGTGGGACTCCAGGGAGGATGTCCTGAGCAATGGACTATCCCTATTATCAGAGGAGCTCTGTGAGGGAAGGATGCTCCCTGTCTTGTCCTCGTCTCATTTTGGATGTTTTTTCCCACTTTTTGCCCATAACCAAGGGGAAAGTGTCACTCAGAATCTGCAATATTGGTTTACAAGACTGGTTTAAATGCACAGAAGGTAAGAACCTGCCATATAGATGTTTAGATCCATGGTAGGGCTGAGAAACAATGCCGCTCCAAGGCATGCAATACAACTGCCCTGAAATGGCATTTTCCTGAGTGCTACTTAAGCCATACTTTGCTGAAATGATGTGACCACAGGCAGGTGCAAGGTCTGACCAAGTTTTCCAGCCATGGATGCAGTGACGGAGTGTTGGCCTCTTTATACATTTCTCTAGGAGGGTATTTGTTTGATTTGTGAGTCTTCCCCCAATTTCTGCTGCATCTGTGGCATACTCCTCCTGACACTTCACTTTGCTTGTCAGGTGGCAGGAATATTTGCAAGAGGGTTTGCAGGTTTTGGGTGAAGTCCCTCTGGCTTCAGCGGGATTGATGGTTGATGTTACACATCAGGGGGCCTCTTATATTTTCCAAGCCAGCTTGGGAGAAACTGAGCAAAGTCTGAGAATTTACTCTTTAGTTGAAGAGTGTTTCTCATCTTCAGCCCCTGGGGATGTACTTTCATACAGTTTCTTTGGGGGAGGTGGGAGGAGGAAGGTTTGTGGTCAAGCAGCTGGAGGCCCAGCAGGATGCTCCTGCTACCTGGATTGCACATGTAACTCCCATGGGATCCCACCATGGTGGATTTTCTCTTCTGTAGCTTTCCTGCTGGTTCACTGAAGAGAAGCACTGAACTACTTGACAACACGACAAAATGGGGCATGTTAAACCAAGTGCTCTGAATGTAAATATGTCAGCACTCTGGGTCAAGTTCTTGTGTATGTTAAACAAGTTTCTTGCTTAATTGGTAGTGTTAGAACAGCTCTTAGCAGTGGTTTAAATACCTCTTGCATCCAAAAGAGAGACTGAAGGGATTTGGAGTCTGGAGTTAAGAGGAAATAATGCTGGGCTTTTGCTAGACATTGCTCTGTTAGGGGTTGTCTGACATAAAAGGGAAATAGAGAGAAAGCATTGAGTAAAAAATTACATATGTTTATGTATTGTTATGTATTATATATGTATTCTTGGTTTCCTCCAGACAGCACAATGGGGACAGGTAATCCTGCGTTAATAACTTGGTCTTAGAGGATTTAATATGAAGAATTTTGAAGCCAGTAGCATGTCTGTAATTTTTATGCTTCTGCCCAGAAACACACCCCTGAACTTACAATTCCTGTGGCCAATGCATAAGTATTTCAAAAGGCATTTTCCTTTGGCTACACCTGAAAAAAATGAGCAGCCTGGTGAGAAAGTGTTTGGGCTGGAAAAAATGGGTTTTCAAAGAATAGTAAAGCACTTGCCAAGGGCAAAGGGTGGCTGCAGACATCGACAAGTGAGCACAGCACCTGCCCATCTTTTGCAGTTGCGCATTTCTGAGAACTGAAAATAGTTCTTTTAGGAGATTTTTTTGGTTGTTATTTTGATATTTTTTTGGATTTTTTACCATCTCTTATACAAAGTTTAGAGGAAAGGGATGTTGTTCCCAGGATGACAGCTGTGTACCTGTGGGAGGCTGGAGCAGGCACCAAAGCCATTCTTTGATGGGGTCCATCACTACCAAGACATTTCACATAATCTGTTTCCCTACATTCCCTGGATGTGGGGCGGGTGTTCATTGCCTCCCTGAGTGGGGCTATATTTGGAGTGGTGTGCACATATATGGGGCTCTGTTTTGTCTTGAGACTGTATAGAACACAAGCTGACTTGAGTCCCTCAATTCATTGCCTTTGTCCTCACCTTCCTTTCTGTTCCCTTTCTTCATCAGGAAAATGGGAGCCACTCACCCGGCGTGAGCTCTAAGGCACAGCAAAAGAAAGGCCACCAGTCCCAGTGCCTCAGACAGCTCCCAGTATGGATGGCTTGGTTGAGCAGAACAGCGTGCTGATGCACAGTAAGATCACTGAGGCTGGGAAAAGGAATGGCTTAATTAACACAAGGAACTTAGTGGCAGAGAGCCGAGATGGTCTGGTCTCCGTGTACCCCACCCCTCAGTACCAGAGCCACAGAGCGGGCAGCCTGTCCTCTCCCAGACGCCCGGAGAACGGCAGGAGTGACCCCGTGCAGCAGCTCCTGGACCCCAGCATGCTGCAGCAGACGGTGGAGTCTCACTACAGGCCCAACATCATCCTCTACTCCGAGAACGTGCTGCGCTCGTGGGGCGAGAGCCTGGGCTCGGAGTGCTGCGAGACCACCTTCATCGAGGAGCGCTCGCCCACCAAAGACAGCCTGGAGTACCCCGACAGCAAATTCATCGACCTCTCCGCCGATGACATCAAGATCCACACCCTCTCCTATGAGGTGGAGGAAGAGGAGGATTTCCAGGAACTAGAGGTCAGATGTCACTTGGGATACGTGGGGAAGGCTGGGAGGAGGAGGGCATGTTGGAAATTAAGTGTACAACCCCCTAGAGATGAACAGCAGGGGATCAGCTGCTTTTTGGGTCAGCTGTATCACTTTCTCCTCCAACTAGGACAATGAATGATTGCTCATCTTTATTTGTTGGGTAAGGTCCCAGATCTGTGGATACCGATGGCAAAATTCCCACTGGCCCTAATGGAGAGCAGCATTTCCCTTCTGCCTCTGAAGGGGCTGGTCAGAAACAGAGGAAGACCCATGTGCTTAAATGCTGTGTAAGGCTCGGGCTGGGAGCATCTGTCTGTCTGCATGGAGCCCATCTTACTCAGCAGGCCAACATCATCTCTTGCTTTCACCTGACTTGAGCAGAATTTTTTTAAATTACTGGCTCAGACACAACACATTTCTGTCTCAGAGTGAATGCAGAAACAGAAGTCTTTGTGTTTCAAGCTGCAGTGGATTCTTGTCTCTGAAATAAATTATATTTTTCTGATGGAGCTAAACACTTTTTAGACCTGAACACAATGTTTTCTTCTGGAGTCCCTTGCCTCATTGATTGCTCACTGTAAAGTAACAGGGAATGATGCAATTTAAAAAAAAAAAAATAACCAGAGGCCCAAGTGTGACAGGGATTTGTGTTTGCCAGTGTTTGTGGAAATGGAGGGTGAACATAATGCTGGTAATCTGAAAACTTCCTCCACCATTGGTCAGAGACTCCTAACCTAGCAAAAACCCTCTGGCTGTCCAGAGCAAAGCTATGCCTTCAAACATGAATGTCACAGCTGAGACAGGGACACTGGTCGTGTTTCTCTGTTGCTGTGATTTTTGGTTAGGAGTGAGATCCAACAAGCCCTAAAATTTCTATTTTCACCTCCTGTAATACCAGTGCCTCACCCTGTGATCAGCACAGGGGAAATCCAGCAAGAGGCTGACTTCCCTTTTATTCTCTTTTCTCTCAGTATGGATAAGGTGGGAAGAGGGAAGTGTTTTTCGCAGTGCATGCCATTAATGCAGTATTCAATGCCTCCACAGGGAGACAGAAAGCTTCTCTCTGAAGCATGTGAGAGTATTAGCTCAAATCACACCCTTCCACAGAATTTCAGAATTGACCGTGGGAAGTAAAATTTCCTTAATCAAAACAAAGTTCCTGGTTGCTGTCTTTTTGCCCCAGTTTCCTCTCATGCAGCGGTGACACAAGTGGCTGCAGCACACATGGTGTTATTGACACATCTGGCCTGACATTCAGGCAGAAAAAAAAAATAAAATCTCCCTCTCATCAATTCAAGTCAAGAAGACATTCTTGAGTCAACTTTTGGAGAATGAGATAAAAAAAGGCTGGGAAAATGAGCAGCATAAGGAAAAAACCTCTTCAAAGTGGTACTGGAGGAACTTGATCAGCTTTTCACAGAGAACATTTGTGTCTTAGAAACCAGCTGTAGAACTTCATCCTCCCCTGATCTTAAGGGGAGAAATGAGACAGTAAATTTTGGTAACATGCTCTGACAGTGTGTGCATCCTTTTCCCTGGCTCCTTCTTCTTTCTGACCTGTTTCTCTGGAAACAGACCTCCTGAGATGAAAGGTGGCAGTTCTTGAATGAGTGTAGAGCATCTGGAATCGCAGATTCCCTGTCTCATTTGACTCTTTGGGTGACACTGTGCTAACAAACACAGGTGTGTGCACAGCCATCTTGACCTGTGTGTACAAAGTGCTCAGAGAAAGAAGATGTTCACAAAGTACACGACACTCAGTGGATTGTCCTCTCCATCAAAATTTCTCCTCCACTAGGAACAGGGGAGGGGAAAGCCAGGCATGGTTTGGATAAGGACCTGGTTAGCTGGAAACATTTGCTTGGCTAGAAGCCTCTGCTTTGAGAGAGAGTCTGTCTCCATTTCTGTGCTCCCTGACCATCCCTGTGCAGCACTGAGATTTTCACACTCTTGCATGAACTTTTCCTTCATCCCAAAGGATCAACCTGCTGAGCAGCTGTTGGCAGCAGAAGTAGCTTAGCATGGCAAGTATCTTCCATTCCAGGAAGGTCCAAATTCTGCAGATGCAGCTGGTCATGCAGGAGAGGAGGGATGAATTTGACAGTACCAGACCAGAAAAAAATGTGTTTGCTGTCTTGTGCTCTTCTGGTTCACAGAGGCTGGTGGACAGAGGCTGTGTCTGTGTGGCCAGATGTGTGAGGGCCTCCTGGGCTTGGCCAGAGCACAGCTTCATTAGAGACCTAAATTCATGTGTGGAGGAGACTCTGGGGATGGAAGAGCACTATTTAAGGACAAACAGTTGCTGAGTAAGGTGATGAACCATGCCAGATTGTTAACTACACAAAAACAGCACCTGAATCACACAGCACAAGTGTGTCACACTAGAAAGAAGTTTTTTCCCTGCCAGTTACTGACAAGAAGCAAATGCTTTTTTACTTACTAATAGATGGGATGGGAAAGAGTGAGTATCAGGACTGGGAGCAGAAGTTAGAGGGTGACACAACAGAGATGCAAATTTTGCTTCCCCGCCATGAGAGTCCTAAAGGGTTTGAGTCTGCCACAGAGTGGCACAGCACATTGCTGTGTATCTTGTCACATTCACTGTCAAGCCACAGCTCATCAAGGCATGGAAGCTGCAGAGTGTCAGAGCAGACCAGGGCTCATGTCTGCTTTGGCTCTTCTTTCTGGGAGAAAACTCTGTCAACTAGCCCCTATTTGGAAACTGGCAAAGAGGGCAGCTCTGTGCAGAAGAGCTCTTTTCTCTTGAAAACTGAGGGCTACCCACTGTTCTCCACATGTCAGTGCAAGGCAAGTGGAGTCCCAGCTTGAGCATAAAATAAAATGCCTTCTGGAAGACACACCAGCCATAGGGTTGTGAGTCATTGTGCTTCCTCCATATCTCCCTGGAACTGCTTGCCTTATACCAGAATGCCTGCCTAGGGTTTTTCAGGATGGATATTTAATTTCTTAAAAATGCCAAAAATTTGATATCCTCCCTTTGCAGTGTCCCCCCCACCTCAATGCAAGACTCTCAGGAGGGACACATGCAGAAAATAATTTTATTGCAGGTCAGACTGCTTCTAACATGATTGCCTTTCTGAAAAGAGTTGGGCTCTTGGCAACCAGAAAGGTTGCTGTTCTCTGGCAGAAAACTTTGCAGTAGAGAAAGGTTCTGGAAAAAACACAGCTGTTTTGATAAATTCGGTTTTGGTTGGAAGAACTGACCAAGCCAAGCTGCAGGGTTTGCTTCTGTGTTAGCTGTCAGCCTCCTCAGGATGGGCCTATCCAGCTCAGCATGTCTTGGATGAGTTGCTGGGAAGGAGACACCTTCTTGCCTTCCCAAGCCCGGGGACCCTGAAGAACATGGGAGGTGTGACAGAGGAGCAGGAGACATCCTGATCATGGGTTGTACCCTGCAGCAACGTTTCACCAACTTATTTGTAGGGATTTTTTACTAGCAGTGCTTCTCAACTCCTGGTGGGGTGTTGTTCTGTCTGCCTAAGAAAATCATAATTGTCTGGAGGGAAAAACATCTCAGAAACAGCTCTCATTAGCATACAGAGCCCCGCTTTGCTCCAGCAATTTCCAGGCATGAAAACAGAAGGCTGAACATTCTGTCAGGGATTTAAACTTCTCTCTTCCATGCCCATCCCTGAAATCAAATGATTCCCTATTTAGGTATCTCTGTAAAATTTATAAATATCTTATGAGTTCTTTACGCCACAACTAATAGACAGACAACTTGTCAAATGTGGCGGCAGTGAAATATGAAATGAGTTACAAGATTAAATACCCTCCTGTTAGAGTTCATGTGCCATCTTTTATCCAAAAATAGCATTTATCATATTATACTCCTGCTAGTTTCCCTCCTAGCCACTAGGTAGATTGCTTATTTAGAGAAACCCAAGCTATTCATGGCAGCAGATTAAATTATTCATATACGTCGCATAAAAGAATACCTTGGAGCTCTCTCTTAAAACCTTCTTACTTTTTCCCAGCACCCAGCAATATCTGAAACAATCTCTAAAAGCAAAATAAACAGAATGTTCTGGGAGTGAAAGAAGAAAAGAAATGCAGTGCTTTCAAGGTATACATTTCTTCCTTTTTTTTTCTACTAGAAGTTGCTGGATTCTGTGGTGAAAACTCATCCTTTAGACCTGAGCATGAAATTGTAGAGATAGAATTTGGATCCTGTTCCATCCAACCACTCTTCTCAATGTTTCCAAGCACCTCCTGACACATTTTTTTCCACAACATGAAGAGAAGACCCTGAGGAGATTTATGCCCATCAAGCCCCATGGCATCACACATGCTTTCTTTGATGCTTCCAGCCTGTGGTCCTGCACTGGGCTGTGTCCTCAACCTCCCCTGGCTGTAGGTATCCAGAAGGCATGTTTGAGCACCCCTTGGAGGCTGTGTATGCCAGAGTTCCTTTTTCAGAGTGCTCTGCAACCCAAAGACAGGGTCTTGCAGCCTGGTTTTACTGTTGAGTTCACTGGCTGTCATAGCTCTCCTCTGAATTGGATGTACAGCATTTTTCCTGTTCTGCACCTGGGCAATGGAGGAAAACAGCACCATAAATACCTTGCCCAAGCTCATCTAGGGCTGTGTTGAGAATATGGGATTGTAATTTTTAGTGGTTGTGTCCCATGGCATATGCTCAGAAGAGCACAGTGTCAGAGGTGTGGTGCCCAGGCATGAGCTCTTAAGAGGAGTGGCACTCAGGTATGCAGTCGCAGCACTGAGTCATCCTACCCACAGGACACACTTTATATCTCTGAGTTCCTTCAAAGGCACATTGTTAACAGATTACAAGAGTGATTACACTTTGCATTTGACTTATTTTTCTCCTTTGAAGGAGAAGCCACTCAAGTCTGGAGATACTGAGCTCTGCCAAGGGATATTAACCTCTATTAACCATCTCCATATGAAGAGAGCATGGCTGGGAAGTCACCTTCAGCAGTGTCCAAGTGCCCTCCTATGAATCTCGCTAGTAGTAGCAATTCCCTTTCTCACCATCATCACTTCCCTGAGTTTTCAGGCTGAAGCTCTGCAGTGGTGTCTCTGGGATGCAGCCTGTGAGTGGCAGGAGCTCTGCATGAGCTTCTTGCTGTCATTTGTAGAGGGTGGATATTTGGCACACATCTTTGAGGACTGCTGTGTCAGCTGAGAAGCAGAAAGGGGACAATCATGAAGGGCCACAGCTTCTTTTAGTGCAGATCTTTCATTGCTGTCTGCAGTGATCCCCTTACAGTGGCAATGTGCTGGATGCCAGTTCTTGAGGAGCTACAGGCAGGCTGGCTGTGGGTGTCCAGAAAGCATCACAAGGTGATCAAAGTCCAGGGATCAAGGAGGAAGGATAGGCCTGGGCAACTACATCCAGAGGGTTTTGTCTGTTGAGTTTTGGTGTTGCCAAGTTACATATGAAAAATTTTCCAAGCAAGGAGAGACCTCTGTGAGCCCATTCTGCAAGGCTGCCTGCCTGACTGACAGGGCAATTTTTAGACTGGGAGTTGGGGAAAAAAGAGGAGCTGCAGCACGTCAGTGTTAGGGGAATATGGCTCCTTTAAATGCCTTTAAAACTGAAAGGCAATCTCAAAGTTGTATAAAGAAATAAATAGAAGAAAGTTGTATAAAGAAATAAATAAATAGACAGGCAAATTTAAATAAATAGCAGGCTTTAGAGACATCACCTCTTAAGAAGTTATCAGCAAGATAATTATTATAATAAATAATAAATAAAGATAATAAATAATCATCCCCCTGCTGCTCAGGGATGAGTGAGTGTGTGGAGGCAGAGCAGTGATAAACTACAGCCTTTGGCAGAAGAGTCTCCATCCAGCTGCTGCCTTCAGCATCTGCTGCATGGAGGTGAGCTCAAAACACTTGCAGGAGAGCAGAAGGATGCAGAGTCCTGGACAGAACAGGTCATCATGTTTAACTACATTACTGGACCAGGCATTGTGTGGAGGGAAACAGAGCACATATTAACCTGGAGCAGCGTTGTGTTGGTCTTTGTCAAACCAGACCACTGGACCATCTGGATTTGAAGGCAAATCCCACGGGGCCAGATAAGGAATTAGTTTTGTATGCAGTGTGTGCATGCTGCTGAATTGGTTGCTTTGAAGGAAAAAAAGGAAAAGGGCTGTTTCCTGAATATCCATCAGAGGTTGCTGGCAGCTGTATTTCAGAGCAGACCCTGTTGTCTGACATCTCCAGTGCGCTTGGCAGGCTCTCTGCAGAGCAATTGCAATGTCTCAGTTGAGGTAAAGCTCATAGCTTTTAGGGGTAGCCAGCCTTGATTTAAGAAAAGGCTTTTTTTAAAATAGAAAATCCATTACAACTGTAGAAAAGGGTTCATCACCATCTCTGCTAAAAATCTGCACCTTGTGTCTGCTCTTCCTCTATTCTTCTTTCAGTCACTTCAGCTTTTCTACAGAATGAAAGAGCTGCCTCTGATCAGAAATTATCTGCTCAGGCACTTACGGGCTGATGAAACTGCGTCTTAAATGCATCTTACAAATGGAGTTGGCTTCCCTTCTTTCTACCTTCCTGGGTAGATGTTTTTTGTGGCATTCTGCCTTCCAATGCCTGATTTCTCCAACAAACTTGGGAAATGGTTCTCGGGAAGGGAAGGGAAGGGAACCCTAACTGACAAATATAATTCTCAACAAGACTAATATCTGACTTCTCAACAAGAGTAATATCCAGCTTCTTCAGTGTCAGGGTGCAGCTCTTGCAGATCCAGGAATAAGTAAAGACAGAGAGCTAGGTAGCCAAATTATCAATAATCCCAGTGTCAGGGGAGTTCTGAATGGAGAAGATTTCTTGGTAAGCTCAGGATGAGGTGTCCTGTTGTAAGAGAGAATGTTGGGAAGGAAGGTTTGCTTGGGGAAAGGAATGTTTAACTGTAAGATTTGAAGTACCTTTTGCTGTTGGATTTCTTTCTGGGATTATTGACTTTTTTCTCTCTTCTGGTTCACAGTTGGTCTGCATGGTCAGGACTTCATGGTTAGAATTGTTCTCTCACCCTTGGTAACTCATAGGTGGGTCAATTTGGCCTTTGGGAAGCAGCATGACTGATAATTTTGTGATTCAGCACATGGCCAAAGTTACCTGAGAAATCTTTTCCCCATTTCATCTTTATGAGAAAGAAAAGGCAATTTGAAATATCAGAAAGGTGGTCTCCACAGATACTATGCCAGCACACAAAAACATGAAAATAAATACCTGAAAAATCAAAAGCATTTTTTTGGTTTTGTATCTCACCTGTTCAGGTGAGTGCACAATTTCAAAGGGTGGTTTCAGCAATACTGTGGATTTTCTCCCTCTCCTTCTCCTCCTTTATTTTTGAAAGGAAATATTCATCTGACTACAGAGCCCCTTCCTTTAATGGGCTTCCTTTTCAGCTCCCTGCAGCGATGTCTTTATATTTGTCTTTTCTTGTTTTCAAGCTCATACAACAGTGGTGGAGTCTGTGACACAGTGGGTGAGGAAGAGGAGAGCTGCTGGCCACTGCTGTGGTGGAGTAGGAGAAGTGGGCAAATGATCAGGGGATTGGCTGATGGCAGAGGAAAAGCAATAATGTCATTAACCAGCACACCTGCGTTTCTCTTTTGCCGCTCCAGAGCGATTACTCGAGTGACACTGAGAGTGAAGACAACTTCCTGATGATGCCACCAAGGGATCATCTTGGCCTCACTGTGTTCTCCATGCTCTGCTGCTTCTGGCCACTGGGAATTGCTGCCTTTTACCTGTCCCATGAGGTAATGTTAAAACATCTCCTTCCAGGCATTCTCCAGGGCAGTGGAAGGTAGTTCAAGGGGAAGGCATCTTCCCCACCTGGATGTGTCTCTGTGGTAGTGGTGGCTGCCTTTTGAGAAACTTCATTGAGGGAGGTGTCTACAAATTATTTTACCTTTTAGTTGACAATGATCAGGTTCCATGTCAAGTTATATGTCCAACTAAGAATCCTCTGTGGACATGGATTTTGAATAGAAAACACCCTTGATAGCACAAATGCCTGGCTTTCCCATTGGGAGAACAGTTCTACTTGTCCCAAGCTGATAATCTAGAATATCCTTCCAGGAGTATAAAAATAATTTCTGTTCTGCAGATGTGAATTTGCTTTCCAGAAACCATTTCCTTTCCTACGGAAAAAAAAATTGCTCAGTCAGTTCTTAGTTTCAAATTTTAATATGCAAATATCTCTTTTACCAAAGAAGTGACTGTGTTTTGGTTTGTTTTCTTCACGAGGCAGTCTTAACATTGCTTAACTCGCAATCACCTCGTGCCCATCATTTGTTTCGACAAGTATGTCTTCATAAGTGTCTGCAATGTAATTACTGAGTTTCCCAGCGTGGCAGATAATATGAGGTGACAGGGAAGGCGTCACACTGGCAGCCTCATCAGCGACTGCGAGGAAACATTTGATTATATTTCTCTCTAGTGCCTATTGCAAACTACAGTCTCTGCTCCACAGCACCCTTCACATTCACCCTCTCAGCTGTCTTTCTAATCTGCCTGCACTAAACATCTACCAGCCCCGCTGATTTGTCAAACCAGAGCAGGCTCTTCAGATCTGAAGAATCCTGCTCTTCAAGATAAAAAAAAAAAACTCAAAAAGAGACAGAGAACTACTTTTTTTTGTTTGTTTGTTTTGTTTTGTTTTGTTTTTTGTTTTTACTTCAAATGAACAGTCTGTCTTTGCTCTGGGAAGCCTCTGAGACAATTAGTGGTTGTCCTGTGGAAAATAACAAGATTTGATTGTTCGAGTTTTGATTGTATGTGAGACAGTTTTATCTGAGCAAAGACAGCACAGCACGGTCCAATAAATACAAAATCCCCAATGTAATTAATACTAAAAAGCAATATGGCTGAGAAGCTAAAGGTGCTGAGAACCAGTGTGCAAAGGCCAGGGCATCCAGCTGTGAATGCATCCCAGGGGCCATCATGAGTCTGTAGGAACCTCTGTCTTCCAGGGGAGAATACAGAAGGTGGAAAAAGCATGAATACAGGGGAAAATGTTGGTACTATGCTGAAGGATTTTGGCATTTGAAAACCAAAACTTGGGTGTTTTTTGGTTTAGTATAATGATGAAGAACAGCTGAATGTGGCTGCCTAAACTCAATTTTCAGTTCTCTTTTAGAAAGATGGTCTAGCTTGTTCCAGTACAGCAGAGACACATCTCTCTGTCCTCTCCCCAAGCTCCCAGGGAGCTCCTTTCTCTCCCTGCCTTCCCATTCAGCAGGTCCATCACAGCCCTGAGCAAGCATGTGGAAAAAGTCATGCTTCTGCAAAACCCCACATACAACAAACTGGCATTTTCTGGGGGAAAAATGAAACCATCATTAAGCCCAGACCCCCTGTGGCTGAGAACTTGCTGAGATAGTTGGTACAAACCACCAAAACCCTGCACCTTGCTAAGCTAATATTGACAGTGATATCAACTCGTACTTGGACACATGAACCATCTATGTGATTTCTGTTTATATAGGTCATTCAACTTAAACTCCTTCATAACATTTGAGATCACTTATGAATTCAAAAGAATAGTCCAACTTTCCCCTTTCTTTATCAAAAGCCAGAGGTATAGCTAAAGATCAACTCTTGCTACTCATGATCAAACCTCTTTTCCTGCAGTTGCTTGGGCTCTTGAAAATTTTGTGTTTTCCAAAGTTTCCTGAGCAGTTGTACCAAAAAGGCCATCTGGGAATAAATCATAACACTTAGGAAATTCAGAGATGGGGGATGGGTTCTTTGATGCAGTATACAGCACTGGCAGTGAATTTTGTTTTAAGAATCTGGTCTGCTCTAGGTGTGGGACGCATTTGAAGATGAAGCCTTTGTTTGCAGCAGATATATCTGCAGTACAGCTCATTCCAAAGGCACAGGTGCTCTGTTTGTTCCTGCATCACCTGCCAGCACGCTTGTGACGCATACGCCTGTGTCATGCTGCAAAACAGTTACACAAGGCTGGATGCTGTAAGACAGCAGAGGTGCTCCTTACCAACAGTGATTGAATTTTGGGGGGGGTTGTGCTCCATGAAAGCCAAGTTTCTCCTACAGGTGATATTTCTGCTCTGTGTGGGGTTTTCTGTCTCCACCAAGGCTCTTGCCAATGTGCTCCTGACTTGGGGCTTCTTGCAGAGCCTCTGTATTGAGGGGTGCAGCCGTGCAGGGTCTGCCTCTGTGGTGGCAGTGAAGATGTGCATCCACAGGTGAGCCAGCAGGGAGGAGCAGTGGATTCAGAAATGCAATTTATGAAAGCTCAACGTGGTTTTTTTCCCATTGGGATATCCAGTTTTGCAAGCAGGTTGTCACCTGGTGATCTTATCCCAAGCAAAGCTGAGACTTGCTGCTTTTCGTCTTCCCTCAGAAAAACACAGAACTTTGAGGCCATCACTGTGCTGTCCACTTGTTCAGTTATTTCCTTCTGGTTTTATTTGTGTTTTCCTTCCCATAAGAGTCTTGCCCCTGCTTCCTGTGGCTGCCCAGTCCTGTGCTCCTCTCAGCTCCACTCTCAGGATGGGGCCCTGTGTCCTGTCTTCTCTCACATTTGCTTCTCCAGAATGAGTCATGTGAGTTTTTAGGCTTGCCATTTTTTGGATTGTCTCATTAGTCAACAGTTGAAGAGCTCAATCAAAGTTTTTGTGCAGTTTGTAAGGAAACTTTTGGAAATAGGAAAGTAAATTATGTCTTTCACCAAAAACTCTTCCCCACAAGCAGTGTGTGATCAAAAACCCACCTCATTATGTTTATTTTTTCATAAATCTCCACCCTCTGGAGTCTTGCGGGTTCTTCAGTTTTTATTTCCAAAGATATTTTTAGCATTGTAGATTGTAGGCAAGTGTGAAGCCTCATAAATCAAAGAAAGAACTTTAAAAATATATCTTTTTTGTCTTGTCAAGGTTACCATTGAACTTGTCAGATGATTTCTCATGGGCTGTCAGGCTTTCTGCTTGGGCCGGGGGGGTGGTGATAACAATCTTGAAAGGCCTTTTTGCATGAATCCTCTTTTTCTCCCTGCTTTTATTTTTAGGAAAGAGAGCAATACCCTGTCACACATTTCCCTCCCTACTGTAAACAGAAATTCATTATGAGAGAGCTGAGCCTTTGATGCTATGAATGAGCTTCACTTCTTGCCTGCTCCCTTACAGGCAGAAACAAGAGCGTGCACAACACCTCCACCCAACTCCCATGAACCCTCCATGGACCTGTGTCACTCACCTGGACACACACCTGGAAAAAACCCCTCTGCACACTTCTCCACGTGCTTAGGTTCTCAAATAGCCTCCACACCCTCCCTCCTCCCCAGCAGCAGGTGAGACCTGCCAGGCAGCAGACTGCCCTGGGAGCACGAGGGAGCAATCACTTCCCTGCTGCTGCACTGGCTCCCTGCTGTAATTACCTCCCTCGCAGGGGGATGCAGGGATGCAAAGCTTTGTAATTATTTGCTCGCATTGTCTCACTGGGTAAAGGATTTTCTACAGTTTTCACAGGGAAACAAGGTCTACGTGAGCAGAAAAAAAAGAGTAGCTTGTCTTTCTTCACGAAAACTTCTGAAATATTTGGTTACTTTTCATCCAGTTTTCAGAGACAAGGGCTTTAGGAAAATATCTGTATTCTGACATATTTCAGTAGTCGCTGGGGAGAAGAAGGAAAGAAGGTTCATGTTCCCACTGCAAGGTAGAAAATAGTATGAATTCTAGCTTTTTTTCAGAGTTTCAGTGCTCAGCATACATGTATGGATTTCACTGTCCTTGCTTTTCTGGCATTAGGTTTTGACATCCAACTTCAAAAGAAGAGGACAGAGAAATAACAGCCAGGTGTTATCTGCTGTTTGTTCCTTAGAAAGGTGGCTCATGGGCCCCATATCAACAGGGAGAACAATGAGACAGAACAGCAGTGTGATGTGCCACACTCCACCAGACTGGCTGGTGATGCCGTGTTCTTATCCATCCACCCTGCTTTTTTTCTTATCTGTCCCACTTTACTCCATAAAAAAATGAATATGGTCTATTATAAAGAGCTTGACACACAGCCAGGAGTGTGTTTGTACAGGAGATGCAGCAGCCTCTTATATCAAAGAAGAAAAGGCAAAGGAAGAACAAAAAATGTGGTATTTTTCTTTACTTGGCAGTGACATGCCAAGATCTATACTTGCAGGATATGCTGGTCAGCACTGCTGAAGCAATGCTAGCAAAGCAGACAGGAGGCTTTTGCAGTTTCAAGAGATTTTTCCACACTGCATTATTTCTTGGTCCAAGTAATGCTTGAACAAAAGAGCTGTCTGAAGATGATGAGCTTTAATAAAAATAAAAGGCCTTTGTTTTGCTTTCTTGGGCCAGATACCAAGTCACACCATTCTTTTGCTTAAGCAGGGCTGCTGCTTTGAGTCACAGAGATTGGGTAAAGGGCACTGGGTGTATTCTGGGGCTGCCCAGCCCAGTCTCTGCTGACTGCCACACAAAGGTTCGAGCTCTCTGTGCTGCTCACTCAGAAAGCAAATCCCCGAGTTCTTTGTCCGGCTCTCTGCATGTGAGTACAGGACACCCAGGTGCCCTTTTACCCTTCTGAACTGGTGTGGTTTTTCTGCTGCAGAAGGTGATCTGTAAAACAATTAAACCCAGTTGTGCTAGGAATGAGTGAAAACGGTTTTAAAAAGAGTTCCTCCTCACAAGGAACTGCCAAGGTCTTTTGTAGCAGAAGTTGTCCTAGAGGAGCTCAGTGCTGCTGTCTTGCTGAGATGGCACAGTGCTGATGG